TCGACCAAGTAAGCTAGGGCCTTCGCCAGACACAACCAACAGTTCACACTGAGCTTCTTTATTGCCTAGTGATGCTCGAACATGTGTGACCCCTAATACCTTTAACGGATCTCGAGTCCATGTTACTAATTTTATATTGGTAGATTTCAATGGAGGAGGTGTATGCCACAGCTTCCTGAAAGTTTCTTCGGAAATGATTGTTCGCGACGCACCGGAGTCCACCTCCATAGTCACAGGAGCACCATTGAGGTGTACTTCGGCTGTGATAGGATGACTATATTTTTCAGAGCATACATAAACCCCCATCATCTTTTCAGAAGTACTAAAATGAGCCTCTTTACTATCATACTGCACCTGATGTACTTTTGCACGTTTTTTCATACAAGCAGACGCTATATGTCCATATTTCTTACAATAAAAGCATTTTGCTTTAATAAATGGACATTGTTCACCGTCACTATGATTTTGTGCGCAATGACGACACTCATTTGACTTTATTCTACCAATTTCCATTGGTTCAGTAACCATAGACGGAGTTAGCTTTGTTTGACTACTAATATCAGGGTACAAATCACAAAACGTCGTCTGATAATTCAGGCACTGTTGTACAGCCATCTCATAAGTGAGCTCTTTGACTTTCAATAGTTCTCGACGCAGACGCTCGTCACGTACACCTAACACTAGTTTATCTCGTAACTGGCGCTTTAAATCTACAAAGTTACATTTTGCGCCTAATAAACCGATAGCCGCCACATATTCTTGCACGCTTTCCTCTTGGTTTTGTTGGCGTTTATGGAATTTCCCGGCTTGTAGTATTTCGTTGACTTCGGGTTCATAAAATTTGTCCAAAATTGTTAAAATGTCATGAAAAGGCACATCAGTAGGACGTCTAGGTACTAATAAGGACACAATAAGTGAATAAGTTTCTTTGCCGCATTGAGAAAGGAATAACGAACGCGCTTTATTCCAGTCAGTATCAGTCACACCCGCAGCATCTAATGCACAAAGTAGTCTTTCTTTGTATTCACTCCACTTATCGGTTTTAGGGTTAAATTGTCCAGGAAACACTATATTTGCGATATTTGAGGCCATAATTCGTAACAAAACATAAATTTTCCAAAGTCGCCACTAAAAGAAACTACACCAGTTGAGATCAAAGCATAACTACTTTATTATTCAAGTACCCACACATACTGTGATATTTACCTCTGTCAATATAATAATCAAATACACAATAGTTATAATTAAATTGTAATTTGTAATGCACGGTTTTAGAATAATTTTAAGCTCTCTATACTAATTTATTATTTCATACTATTCGTACATTTTATGCCGAGCTATTCTCTTTATATAATTTATAAGTATTTAATTAAATCAATAAGGTTCGAATATTTTTATTCCATCCTCACTAATACGAATAGTTAAATTTTGCAATAACAATATTTAGGCTAATGGAAACTTGTATAAAGTATGTGGTCAGATCCCACATTAAATAAATAAATGTAGTACTTATAAGACAGAAGACCTTGTTTTCGCCATTTGAAGAGTTACGAGGAAGTGAACTTTGATATATGATATTTAGTTAATATTAGTTTTGCCATAATGCAATATTTTAAAAACCGTTAACGTTAAATTTACCTTTGCATTGGTTAGAATGTCTTAAAGTTCCGAATGGCCAAAAGGGGTCTGTGACCTAAACCAGGTATGCGCTACTATGAAAGGTAAACCCGAGATAATATAGAAAAGTTTATTTCCTGCATTGACCCGACTGAGAATCGTACCGTCTCCGTTCTTTGGAAGGTTTGTTATGTCATTGTAGATAATGTTTCACGATGTCACGAAACAAGCCTGTTAAGTCATTACAGCTACGGATATCGTCAAATAAATGTATGTTTCCAAGGAGCACTTTAATCGGAAATTAATACCTGGTTAATGCTAATAATAATAGTAAAAATCCTTTACAATTTCACTCCACCAATATCTATTATAGTATTCTAACATCTCTGCCAAGTGGTTCGCTCGCCGGTTTTAAGGTGTTACCATCTCTAAGGTCCCGGGTACGAATCTTTGTCAGGTTCATGTAGAAAATTAAGTTTTCTATGTTGTCTCAGATCTAGGTATTGCGGTACTATGGTTGACTCAGATACTTCATAATACGAGGGCTTTATCTACTTATCATTCAATATTAAATATGTGCCATTAGTGCTTAATCCATTTTTAGCATAATAAGATTATAAGCACTTTTTATTCTATGAAACAGCTGTTAAAAAAATAACTAAACGAATTTATTATATTGCAGTGTAAAAATTAAAAAAAAAAAAATTTTAGTTGGCTGTTTAATTGCTTTAACTAATTTGTATAATGTATTTAATTGTTGTTTTGATGCATTCCATGAGAATAAAAGTCGATGGATTAAAAAATGTACAGGTATATCCTGCCATAAAAGCAAAACGAAAATAACAAATGACGTTAGCAACGTTTAAATGGAAGGAATCGCGTAAAATTAAAAATGACCTAATTCCGAATCGCTGAATCCACACGTGGCGTCACAAACGACTCGGACGTTTCAGTCATTGTGGCATTCACGCGAACACAAAAATTATAGTCGATCACCGTCTTTCTATATCTGCGCGGGCGCCGCATATAACCCGTTTCACGCGCCAGTGGTCGCCAATCGATGATGTTTACTGTAAATCTACGCAGGAATGCTTTGAACGAAACTCCTTTGATTGAGATCACTTACCGACAAATCAGATTCGTGTCACTTTCAAGGAAATTTATGTTATGAATATAACAGTAATAATATAAGGATAATATTGAGTTGAATAAATGCAATTTCTTTCTATTCTATTGTAAATAAATTCGCGACCACAATCTTCTCTATTATATAAATGAAATGACAAAAATAAATAAAAAACTTTATATGCGTAGGTTAAAAAATATTTCTGTTAGAGAAAAAAAATTGACCTTTGAATATTCGCTTTTTCATTTAGAGTACGAAGCTTATCCGTAATAGTATCATTTAAGCATGAAGGCTGCTTGAAATTCGTATAAATATAGGCTAGAATTCTATGATATTATACTAAAAATGAATATGTGTTTCTTTGTAAATACGATTCTATGATTAAAACGTACTCAAATTAAAAGTTTACAATGAAAATAATAATAAACTATCATATTATTCTGTGGGATATAAATTTTTATAGATAATCTAGTAATAAATACTGAATTCATAAAATATAATTGTACATTATCATTTTGAAATGTTTACCAGCAATGGCAGTGACGTCGTCGCGCGCAATTACTTCACTGAACTGTTGTGAATCGGCGTCTTCAAAGGAATTTCCGACTCATAATCAAGGTACTGGTTAATATGAGATCTGGAATGTATTGAGATAGTCGGTGAGATGTTTGGTTTCATGTCAATACGTATCTGATTTTAGTAAGTCGGTATCTGATTTCAGAACGTCGCTCTTATTTCTATAAATTTAAAGAAGCACTTTCAGTAACAAAAGGTTATTTTGAAACTATGCTGGGGTTTAGATGAATTTTCAGGTCGATTTTTATATTTAAATGTATTAAGTATAGTCATAAAGTAGGGCTATGTTCAGTAGGAACTTTATGAAAATGGCTTTCATGTCACATATGAATAACATTATATCCCCTTTCGACTCTTTGATGTAGATAAAATATTTTTTGTAAATACTTTACGCTTATGTTCCCCTCCATCTTTTCTTACTGAAAATTCTACGATGTATTCTTCTTCAGTCATAAGTACCTACTCAAGGTTCAACTTAGACTCTCCGAGTAAGGTCCACCTGACAGCACCTGGTATCGCAAATTATAACTTTTCCATCGGTCTATCCTTTTCTATCACTTTAGAACTGCAATTTGATAAACCGTGAAAGAAAGTGGAAGCAATAGCATGCCGTAGAATCCCCAAAGCGATAAGCAAAACGCTATATTTTGAGCAGCAGAAAAGAAACCAATCCTTTTTCAATAACAAAACTAACTATAGAATAACTAAATTTTTTTTTTAACAACACAAAATTGTAATGTATTAATAAAGAAATGTATATTTCCATTTTCTAATCAATATTTTAATGTTTTGATTTATCAAAACAAACAGATTGTAATAAGTCTAATTGTGTTTTTTACGAAAAATAAACTGGGAAAACTACTGTTATTATTACCGGTCAATCATTTAACTTTAATATTCTAAATTGTAGATATTAGATGAGTATACTTTCATAGACACAACCTTACTTTATATCACCAGTTTTTTTTTTCATTAATAACTAGTGCACTATCTTGGCAACCATTCAACTGTGGAATAGGAAAGTATCACATTGTAAATAAGATAAAATGTAATTCCGTAATCATCGATGCTCGTCATAAAGTTTGTCAACGTTACGTTTTTTTTAGAGTTTTATAGGTGAATATCGTAGGTATAGTAATAATTTAATCTTTATTATAGTAATTCGGCTTCCATGTTTTTTTGAAAACTTGTGTGTGGATTGACACAATATTTCTACACAATCTTATGCGAAATAATATATTTATTTGCATTTTATTTCATTTTTCTTTTAGATATAATTTTGGTTTTCTTATTTTGCTTTGGTCAGTCCATCCATAACCGATTTATATATGAAATAGGTATAATACTCTTCAGAGTATATAAAAATACTATCTTCAGATACTCAAACATATAAATAAATAGACGCACCTTACGAGTACTTGTGTTTCTTGTTAATTACTTGGTCACAGTGATTTATTTAACGACCAGTTGAACGTCCAAATATTTTGATATGTAAACGCGTTTAGTGTAAATAATTGGAAATATACAGTTTTTGCTACAACATTTTCCGTCGTGAGACGCAAAATTCTCGACAAATGACAAAACTCCGGCGGTTCATAGGCTAGATAGAGAAAGATTGTTTTCACTTATTTCTGTATTCCAACGTTTCTATAAATAAGGGTGCCACACCGACGCAAAATTCAGTGTAACGACACTCGCACTCTCGTTCAGTTCTTGTTACAACTGTCAACCCTACACAACCAAAATGGTGAGGATTATTAAGTTCAAGTGATAAGTTTAAGTGTTATAAGTGAAATGTGCAAATATGGAGCAAAAGTACGAAGTCTACACGAAGACGGGGTTGTAGTTCCAATCAAAGTTACCTACACATAAAAATATGGTCTTTTCATGTCAATATTTTAAACACACGCGGAATATGTATGTGGAACTTATGTTTGTTAACATAATCTTAGGGTGGAAAAAACCAATAAATTTATGCCATGAACATTACCTGAAGAAAATAAAAGTAATCTACTATATCCATATTTCATATACAACGGTTTGTCTTTCCCAGGATACTGATGACGATCAGAAGATGGCGATGCTTCGCAAAGCCTTCCAAATGTTCGACACCACCAAGTCCGGTTACATCGATGTCCTGAAGATCTCAACCATCTTGAACACAATGGGTCAACTTTTTGATGACTCAGAACTTCAGGCACTCATCAGTGAAAACGATCCTGAAGGTAATTTCGCTGAATGTATAGAAAAGGTAGAATGTATTAGGTATTTAAATTTTAAGTTTTTATTTTAAGTATTTTTTAGTAATATTAATAAGCGAACAATATTGTATAATTTTATGTAGCAGGCAGTTATCGTGTTACGGTGAATGTATGAATATGAACTGATTATACTCACCAAATTGAAATCTATTAAATGTTTAATAGAAAAGATAAAAATACGTTAATATTATGGATATATTCAGTTTTCATTTTAATGAAAATCCAAAATATAATAATGATAATTTAAACGAGGTTCATTTTCGTTTGCAATAATTTTCAATGAAATCAAACCTAACAAGTTGATGGCAGTCCTACTATGATTGTGATAAAGATCATGCTTATGACCGTAAAGTCGTCGCATAGTGTCGAATCTTTCAAATAATGTGAATAAGAAGTTTAATATAGCTCAAATTGCTTAGTATATATAGATAATAATTTGAAAATTCCAGTGCCTAAAAATATTCCGCCGTTAATATAAATCATATTTAACAAGCGAATATCGAACTAAAATAGCTTTATGAAGTATCATAAAGGCGGAATGAATATTTTGAATTTCATACTCCAAAAGTTGTATAAATGTGAACACTTGAATCATTCCGCATATCGTTGGGAACCGCAATAAAATCCGTTGTGTAGTGTGAAAGATATGAGCTAATAGACAGCGGGAAGCTACTTTTTTATATTATGTATAAATCAGTGCCGTGTATAATGAAGACTTTATTCACGCCTTGGATATTTCCAGAAAAGCTTCACCTACCTTCTTATTTGAAATAACATTATCCTTCAGATGTAATTGACATTTCATTCAGAAATCTCTTTATTATAATAAATAATAAATTACGTGTCTCATAAAGCATTTTAATTACGTTACGTACATTTAAATTTCTAAATCTGTAGCTAAAACTGCGACGGTAATAACTAGAACGTTAAATTTCAACTCAAATGCGACGATTCGAATGTGTGTTTGAAAGGTTAACCACGTGCTGTGTCAGACACCACTTCAGAAATATTCCGGAATATTTTTACACGACACAGTAACTAATAAAGTTATTTTTGTACCAGTCCCACTGTGTTTCTGCTTGGAAAAGCGTTCTTCACTTTGATTCATTTTTCAAATAAATGATGGGTGTAATATATTTTTTTTATTTATATACTTTACAATAAAGTTTATCTTTTTAAAACATGACTTTAAAAGAAACACTTTTACAATATATAAAAGACATAATTAATAAGCTGTGAAACGCGCTTGTTAATAATTGTGTAACGTAACAACATCTACAATAAGGGTCAAACTGAAAGTTCTTAGAAAATCAAAATCTGATTACATTAGCCAGTTATTAGTTTTATTATATCTTTTCAAAATATTGTCCATTCACGTCAATACACCGCTGCATGCGATGGAACCACTGGGAAAAGCACTTTGCCCACTCGTCCTTAGGGGTCTCTTCAATGGCATCGCGATACGCAGCCACCGCTTCTTCAGCATTCATAAACCGCTTTCCTTTAAGTTTTCCTTTAATTTTTGGAAATAAATAAAAATCACAAGGCGCGAGGTCGGGGCTATACGGCGGGTGACCCAGTAATTCAACGTTTGATGTCGCCAAATAGTCGATCGTTCGCTTGGCGGTGTGCGACGAGGCGTTGTCGTGGTGAAGGAGGATCCTACTGCGAGGTCGTTTCTCTCGAACTTTTTCCAAGACAAGTGGCAAACAATTGGTAGTGTACCATTCTGCAGAAACTGTTTTTTGATCCTCTAACACAATTGTTGCAAAATGACCTATCCTTCCAAAGAACGAGGCCACCATTTTTTTTCCCGCACTTCGATCTCTCTTCACTTTAGTTGGCAACTCCTCGAAAGGAAACACCCACTGAGCAGATTGTCTTTTGGTTTTAGGATCATAACAGTAAATCCAGCTTTCGTCACCTGTTAGTATGTCGAACACAGCATTTGAGTCACCTCCGTTAAATCTTTCAATCATTTTACGACACCAATCCACACGATGGAGTTTTTGAGCCTCAGTCAAATTATGAGGTATCCACCGGGCGCAAAGCTTCCTGACCGCTAAATGTTCGTGGAGGATTTTGTGCACTTGACTCATACCGATGCCTAAGCTTGTCCGAATCTGTTGATAGGTCACTCTTTTGTCAGTCTCTATCATACGCCGCACAACACAGATGTTATCTTCAGTCGTCGCCGTAGAAGGCCGTCCCTCACGTAAATCATCAGTGAGATTAGTGCGACCACGTTTAAACTCATTAAACCAGTTGTAAACAGTCGCACGAGATGGGGCTTCATCGTGAAAGGCCAATCGTAGTCTATCATAACTTTCTTGTTGACTTAAATGACATCGAAAGTCATAAAAAATCATTGCACGAAAATTTTCTCGTGTTAAATTCATGATGACGTGACACAGACAATTTTCAATTTGCCGCCAAATCGTAAAACAAATGACAAATGAATGAAATATATACTCAGTAATATTGGCAAAGAGTTATATTTTAAAATTTTAGAATTATTTTTTTATTCTATTGTTTATAAGTGGCCAGTTCTAAGAACTTTCAGTTTGACCCTCGTAATATGAATTCAGTAGTATCAGAAATAGTTTGATGTTACAGCTCAGCTGGCTCTGACAGTCAATACTAAAGCTGCCATAGTTTAGATATCGTACATAAGTCTGACAATCATAAATTAGGAAACATCAAAAATCTATTGATTTAAAAGAACATTTTTAAATATTTTTTTTTTAAATGAGTAGTTAGTTATTTTGATTTTGAATATCTTTCTAAAAAAAGTACTGGTAAATTAGATATTAAGATAAGTTTACGCTAAATTTGACAATAATCTTAAATAAATTTCTTTGCAGGATCTGGCAAAATCAACTTTGATGGATTTTGCAATATCGCATCCCACTTCTTAGAAGAGGAAGATGCTGAAGCTATGCAACAGGAACTGAAGGAAGCTTTCAGGTTGGTTACTAAAGATCTAAATTCATTAGTGGCTAGTGTCTTACGTCTATAAAGATTCACATCAAATTGATTTAATCTATTCTTGAGTTAAAATATACTGTTTATAGATCAATATTTAAGTATATTTAGTAGCATTTTTTAATTAATTAGCCATTTTATCTTGAAACCGCAAGCTTATTCTATGTATTGAAGTTAATTACAAGCTTATTCTATGTATTGAAGTTAATTACAAAGTGAAATGTATTTGGTCTATGAATATTCAATAGCTTTAGATTATGATAATAATGGATCTTGAAAGGAATCTTATTCGATTGTAATTTCATTTATCATTCCATGACAATATTAAAGATCATCTGGGAACTTTTGTGTTATACCATGGCCAAATTTTAAATTCTTCCAAACAAACCTAAATGAAATTAATTATAAAATATGGTTAGACTTTTGTTGATGTACTTATCTTGAGCGAAAAAAAAAAGTAAACTAGCGATAAGAATTTTTCCATTTATTCAAGATATTTTATGAAAATAAATTATTAGAATATCGTAAATATGATAATACGTGTTGTATAAAAGCAATATATTAATTGTTTCCAACATTCTTGTTCCACTGTAAGATATGACTTAAACAGAAAACAAAAACTCAACAATTGATTATTGTGATTTCCAGGTTATATGACCGTGAGGGTAACGGTTACATCACCACTTCTACCTTGAAAGAGATTCTCGCTGCTCTTGATGACAAACTTAGCAATGCTGACTTAGACGGTATCATCGCTGAAATTGATACTGACGGTTCCGGCACCGTCGACTTCGATGGTAATTTCATTTTATCATTCCAAAACAACATTTTTAAGATCACCTGGGACCTTTTGAGTTATACCATAACCAAATTTTAAATTCTTGAAAATAGTGAAGAATACTTGGGCCTTTACACTTTAAAATATCATGAAGTTAATTACAAAGTTAAATGTATTTGGTCTATGAATATTCAATAGCTTTAGATTATGATAATAATGGATCTTGAAAGGAATCTTATTCGATTGTAATTTCATTTATCATTCCATGACAATATTAAAGATCATCTGGGAACTTTTGTGTTATACCATGGCCAAATTTTAAATTCTTGAAAATAGTGAAGAATATTTGGGCCTTTATACTTTAAAATATAATGAGGTTAATTACAAAGTTAAATTTATTTTGGCTATGAATATTTAATAGCTTTAGGTTATGATAATAATGGATCTTGAAAGGAATGCAATTATCAAATAAAATTATCATATAATACCAACCGTCAAATTTCTTCAATTAATTTTAAACCTTAATGCATTGAGGGTAGAGTAGCGAATCAAATGCGATAACTTGATATATTATGGTAATCTGATGTGCTGATGGGTGCACTTTGATTCCAAGATAAATAGCTAAAGCCCCCTCTGTATTATCGAGTATTTGAAATGACGAAGATAATATAACCCACAGACAGACCCGAAACAATATTTCATTTTCTACACTGACCGGGGCCAAGAGTCGTACCTCAGATATGACAGTGCTTCGAAACATGAGTGTGAGTCAACCGGCTGTGGAGGCAATAGTTGATCGATTAATTTATTATGTTCAGTTCCTTAGTGCTTCAAAAGGTTCGTTGAGCCGTTCGTTGGTCCCAGCTGCATCTGCAGTCATTAATACCCAACAATGAGCACTGACGCCCATTTTCGCTAGAATATGGCTCAACTTAACTAGAAAACGCCTAAACAAATTTATTTAATTCAAAATAAATATTTTTTCTTTTATCCATTTACACATTTGTGACCTTTCATATTACGCAGATTAGGTATCTGTAAAGTAAAGACATGTTGTGACAAAAGTAAAAAGTAAAAACAAAAGACAAAAAAAACATGTCTTTACTTTAGACATTGCATAATGTTGCTAGGTGGCTCGTAGTCTTTGGTGAAATCCTTTTTTTACTTTTGGCGATTCTTACATATTTAGGCGAGAGATTTGGGTGACTGCTGAGTTAAAAACGGGCATGAATTTCCATCGCGGTTATGGTTCTCTATACTTGATTACATGTTGACATCCCTAGAAAAGTTTTATGCCCAGCAGTGCCAATTTAAAAACAAATAGCGAATTGTCCACTTTGTAACATTACAACAATTAAAATATATTTAAAAAAAAAATTAACCAATATGTTTTTTCATTACAGAATTCATGGAAATGATGACCGGAGATTAAACAACACTTCAATTTCATTGTAGTATTATTATTAGTATTTTTGTATTGTATACATTAAAATAAGTCGATAGACTTCAGTATTAGTACAAAAGAATGCGGTATTAGCATGATTGTTAAGTGATATTAAATAATGTCTATCTTATAGATAGCCATTTTGTTGAATTATATTTTATAACTCCTTCTATTTTTCCACAAAATGGACTTCAGGTCCAACAGAATTCGTTTCAATGAATTATTGCCGGAATAATTCACATTTAACGAATTAGTAAAACAATTACTTGCTAATATTATCAAATTACCTACTATACTATATTTGAAATTATATTATTTTAATATGCCAGTTTGTCTTTTACTTCTCAATTACCAATAATGATATTGTTTTGATAAAATAGAGATAGAAAGAAAGGAAAATAAAACAATTTTAAAAAATATTAGGCTATAAGACTGAAATTATTATAAATAAATATTTTTTTAAACAAGAACTCTTTTTTATATGCTCTAAATTTTGACACTATAGTCCTTTTTTACTTTACTGTAAATCATGAGCCATTATTAAAAAAAAAAAGTCTAAACATCTAATTAAAAAAGTTGTGATTTTGTTACCAAAATAAATATTCAAACAAGTCAAGAAAGCTGTTTAAATGTTAATTTATTAGTTATACAAAATATTTTATTTTTATAACACATTGATATTGTAATTAATGAAACTGAAACAGCGAAGTCTTATTAACATAACGATATTAAGCAATACAAATTTTAGGAAATTGGTTTCTATTCTAGGAATTAAAAGTAATGATCTTGTTCATCTATCTTTACCTCTCCTTATTAAAGAGAAATTTTAACATAGCATTAAGAGCTACCAGTCTTGCAGGCTAACTGGCGTGATAATTTCCTTTCGACTACTTGTATCATCATTCTTCTGAAATATTATAAATGGTCCTCATCCCTTTCTACGATACCTACTTTAACACTTTTCTTTATTCGCCAATTACACATAAATTGTGAAACATCAATTCGTTTATCTTTTGCGAAGTAATCCAGATTTCTGAGAAATATTAGAGTTATGATCTAATAAAACCCAACTGAAATTCAACGTCTTGCCTGGTTGAACGTAAATCGTCTTTTATTCATAGCTTTTCTCGCGTGGTCTTGTATTATACATAACAAACCATCGTTTTGAATCACAGTATCTATTAAAAAACCGTATCAAAATTCGTTGCGTAGTTTTAAAGATCTAAGCATACACAGGGAAAGACGACGGAAAGCAACTTTGTTTTTTTCTTTGTATTGATATGTATTCCAGGTAACACTTAAACTCAAACATTGCTTTTGTGTTCAAAAATAGCATTATACGAGTCTCATCTAACATATACTGTCTTCCAAGTCACAATTGGAAAATTGATCAATTAGATTTACTTCCTAAGTACATATATAGCAAAAAGTACTGAACTGAAATATTTTGTTCATAGATGATTTCTTATACCTATTTTAATTTTCAAAGAAACTTTTTTGAAAAAATCTAATATTGTAATAGCATCTTAAATAGCAACCAAAACAATGTGTACCCTTGTTAATAATATTAAAATGCTCTTTAGTTTTTACTTGGAATTTATTAATTAATTTAATAGCCACCGCAATATTAATAAAATAGCCACCGCATCGTATGATTAATTTATTTCAATAATAAATTAATATAGTATATATAACTTTGTATAATGTGTGTATTAGAAATTCATTTAAAGTAAATACATTTTTTTGCTTCAATTCAACAAGAAATGGCTTAGATAATTGGCATTAATGCCTGTGTTTTGCAACTTTAAGTTGAGGAGTGGAACGAGCCTCCACTCTCGTCGTTTCCTACAGCTATTTAGAAAATATACAATGGTGTGACGTCATACGACATTTTAACTAAATATATTACCGTAATTTATTGATTAAGAATAATAAAAACGTATTTAATATTCTATAGCTATCTTTTTGACGGACAAATAAAAAAAAAATGTCAGCATCCCTAGTACAATTATTATTATTATATTTATATACAATTAAATTGTTCCATTAATAATATTGATAATCCGATTTCTTCACGTAATATCATATGTATCATACATAATTTTATTAAAACGTGAAACAAAATCATTTCACGAATTGCGCCAACGTATGTTTGTCGTATTTTATATGGTGAATAGGTTTAGATTGCTATTATATATTTATATTAATAATCAAAAAGTACAGTACCTGAAAATAAGAAATAAATATTATAAACACTACATTATGTTTAAACTTTTGTTAACTGAATTATTATAAATTGTATGAAAAAATAACTAGCTGTGTCCGCGACCGGGAAAGTAACCTATGTTACTTCTAATTACATATGCTGTCTGATTGTCCCGTCAAAATCGATCCAGCTATTTCAGACAGTAGCCTTAATAAATAGACAGACAGACAGATGTAAAATATAATAACTACAATAATTTCTATGCTTTCGTAATTTGTATCTGTTTCACAATAGTCACTGATACTTTTATTAGACACATTGGTTCTACCACACGCTGTTTTTATATTTTGAATATCTTCTGTTCAAGACGGACAAACAGATGTAATATATTTAATTTTGGTACAATGTACCGTTTATATATAGGTAAACATATTTAAGTATTTATTAGTTATTTTAATATTACAAAATACACTCCGAATTTATTTATTTGTATATAGATGTATGTATACATTCATTTCATTTTCCTATTAAGCTATAAAGAGTACTTAGGTACTTATTTACTGAACGTGTTATAAGAAATAACCTTTTTTGAAGAAAAATAAATGTCAATGAGCATTGTCTTCGATGATACACAATTAGTCTCGTTCTACGACGAAGCTTCCAATTTATGAAGGAGACAAAGAGTAAGGTTTACATTTTATTTTCATAAATAGTATGAACACAGTAGCAACACAAGTGGAAATTTCTTTTTTTGAAATTAAAATGTTGTGGATTTGTTTTATGCTCTTTGGATCTGTAATATCAGCACCGACAGATGAATTTATGACGATATTACGTGAAGGAGGTACGCTTATTTTATTGAGTGAATTGTTTATTTACATTCGCAGGCTATACAAATTGATTAGAAAACACTGGCACATTGAAATTACAATTATTTTAATTACATTTATTACGATTTTGTAATCTTATTATTATATATTTACAGAATTTTCTCGTGTTGATGAAATATCGTTAAAGCAAATACTACCTTCGTCTCATGGAAGTAGTAACAAGGCTTTTCAACTTTCTTATTTATTTTCTAAGGTAAGATTTTTTATTCAATGATTTATCTATGCAAACTTGTGTTACTTATTCATAATGATCAAAGATATCACAGATACTTTTAATATTTCAATAGGTCTTTTATTTGAGTTTTATTTGTTTTATGAACAGGGGAAACAACAATATATACAACACACAACCAAACAAAAATATAGGCCTGCGATTTTATAAAACCGTGTCCGAGTTCACGATATTTTGTGTAGAAATTCTATTGATTACATTATTTGTATTAAAATATTAAACAATATTGACTGCATATGTGTGTCTAAAATATTCTATTCCTATGTCATTTCGAAATTCACTTCACTTATGCCACGAAACGTTATTAACGATTGAAAGTTGGGCGGATGCCGCTTTTCCAAGTGAATTCGGACACCTAATTGAGGAAGTATTCAAAAAAAGAAAGCACTAAAAAAGCACCTCCACTAGATGGCGACTATAGAGTCGAGCTCAAAAGTTGATTTTCGCAGGAAATGTATGGACAAAAGATAGTCATTTCGATTCCTTTGCTTTTAACTAACATATTAAAAAACTGATATTTGCAAAGTTTGAAACTTAGATACGAAAACCTGCAAATAGAATATGATTTGTTTATGGAGTTTTGAAAACTAATTTACTTTTATACATGAAAGAAAACCGGAAAGGTTGTCATTGAGAAATCAAAAAAAAGTACCGTAGCGACATCTAGTTTGATTTCTGGAACTAATATATTATTTTAAATACTTCCTCATTTAGGTGTGGATTTTTACAGAATCGCAGAGCTGTTATTTTAAACAGTCATTAATAAGTTTAAAATCAACTTTGAGTAATTATAAATTAAACTAAAAATCGGTTATAAATAATGATGTTTTATCTCCGACTTTTAAAATAAAGCTTATCTAATATATTTTCGCATAACGAATTCTTAATCTTAACATATCGCACACCTAGATCTAAACTAAGACAACTCAAAAAACGAATGTGGACGTCTGACAATACATTTGTTTATGTGGCAGGAGCACGACCACTGTTGATTTAACAAAAGAAAGCTAAAGTTATCTAGCGGCTCATCCCCAAACCTTTATTGAATCTGTTATGTTGGATAGATGCGTTTGATCACAGAGAATTTGAATATTGTACGAAGTCAAAACTCAATCAAATTTTTGAGTTGTCTCAGTTTAGATCTAGGTGTGCGATATATCATTAATAACTAAATCTCTAATTAATTAAAATAAATAATGCTTATTACAGGACAACGAATACTATAGGATTTTCAATAAATATGTAGAAAAAGGTATTACTCTAAAAGGACTAACATTTAATATTTACAATGATGATATGAGAAACGCAGCAATAGCTCTATTCAAACTTATGAGAAACACAAAAAATGATGATAGATCTAATTTTGTAAATTTAATGAAATGGGCTAAATATAATGTCAACAGTGATATCTTCGATTATGCTTGGCGACTTGCATGTTTGTTTGATACTTCCAACCATGATGAAAAATTTCCACCGCCATTCTTAATGAAACCAAACTATTTCATTGGGGGAGAAACAATCTTAAAAGCATTTTATATAAGTGATAATATAGGAAAAATCAGCGAAAGCATTCTCAAAACGTACCAAATTTCATACATAGATGAAAGAAATATTGCTATTAATACAAACTACACTGGTTGGAATATACCAACAGACACGTGTAATAAACAAATAAATTATTTCACCGAAGACGTCGCTCTCAATAGCTATTATTACGGATTGCAGTTGTTACACCCATTTTGGATGACAGACCAAGAATTGATTGAATTTAACCCACGACATGCCGAACATTACTATTATGCGCATAAGCAGTTATATG